AATCATGTTCCACTAAGAAAGAGGAACCCAAGGATTGGGCACAAAGAGTTCTACACTCCCCCAACACCTCCACATTCTCATCAGTATTGGTATTTACAACATTAGCACCATCGTTAATAGGCAATACATATTCCTCTGCATTTACAAGATTGACATCAACATCTCCTCCACCAACCCCCTCATGTATAGGAAACTCCTCGTTCCCTACTGGAAAGCCCTCTAAGCTGTTATCAACAACAATAAGATCAACATTCACTTGATCCTCAAGACTAACCAACCTCTCCAAACTAGTACCAACTACAGAAGGAAAAGCAAAAAATCCTTCCTCATTATTTACTCTTCAATCATCATCTTCATTCATCATTCCCTCCCTTTCAACAACCTCCTCCAAAACAGCAACATTATTAGTATCATTTACCTCTCCTGGCATAATACCTACACTTTCATTCTCATTAACCTGTTGTGCCTCCTATTCAGATACCACATTTATATGTCCAGTAGAAGATTCACCCAAATCAATATTCACAATCGGGACTCTAGCCTGATGATCCTCCAAAACTTCAAATCTATTTTCCACCACAACTTCTTGAAAAATAATCCTCTATTTAATAGGAATTTTTCCTTTATTTCTACGAACCTCAATCATTTCATCCCTCCCACTATCTCTGTTTCCAACATCAGAAGTCACCTTATCATGCCTCTTTCCTTCATTCTGAGACAGAATAACATCATCTTCTTCCTACTTTTTCTTTCAGCATACAATAGAGTCATGTCCCTGTTTTAGACAGTTAGAGCAATACAAAACACTTTTCTCAAACACAATCTTCTGCCATCAACCACTCCAGCCCCCCATATCTAACCACAGTCTTCTAGGGTTATTAGCCAAAAGATTGACCTCAACACAAGCTCTAGCTATCCTAGGTCTAGCTAAATTCAAGGTCGATTTATCAATAACTAAGATACAACCAACAAGGCTTAAGATCTCCCTCAAACTATCCACATTAAACAAATGAATGGGGAAACTTGGTAAGGAAACCCACACTACAGGTGGTTCAATACCCGGAAGAAACTTTGGGAACCACTTAAAGAACCTAAATAGAAAACCTTCTATATAGGTAGCATCTTTGAGCCACATATAAACATAATCCTTATACAATTCAAAACGAATTAAGATGTGTCTAGGATCAAGGACTCCAACATAAAAATCACCTTTAGGCTTCCATCTCGTAATGATAAACTCATGAATTACGCCCAAAGAAGGCTTACCATATGTGTGTTTCCTAATCAGAGCTTGCTGGGAATTAGACGACAACTCCTGCGTCTCTTCAGATGTCCAATAGATTCCAGGTTCTCCGTTATTATACATAACTTTCTTCACATTCCGCATAACAGTCGATGTACCGAATAAATCTTTCACAACAGTCATCACATTCGTCTCAGATCCAGAAACATTCGGCAATCTAGATCCATCAGATTCAATTATTTTCTCACCACCAGGCAAAGGTATTTACCGAATAAAAGTAGTCTGATTATTCATAGAATAAGGATTCGAAGGAATTCTAACTGAAAAAGGAAGTTGAGTAATCGACGGAAAATGAGCAATAAAAGGAATTTCAACAACCAATGAGGTTTGAGCAATCGAAGGAATAGAAGGAGGCATCACACACAATTCCTCCCCACCAGAAAGGTTCACAGAAGATCCCAATCCAGTAACAGAACTGAAACCAGTGTTCACAGAAGTAGGAATTTTCTTGTATAATGAAATAAAATTCCGTGTAATATTTGGAGGTTTGGGTGGAATTTGTTTATGATTCTGATCTGGAATCATGTTAAGACAACAATGATCCAGTAATTTTGGCACAAATCAATAAGAAATCCAAGGAAAAGGAAGAAGAAACAAAGTTTTTCAGAAGAAGTTTTCTAGAGAGAAGATAGAGCTTCTCTCTCTAGAATAGAATAACTACCTCCTCCTTTAAACCCTAAACCCTTTTTTTTTTTTTAAAAAAAGGACAAATGCCATTGATAAGAAACCAAGATTACAAGAAGCAAAGAGACAGAGCGTAATAGCAAAAGAAAAGCCATAGTTGGCTTTAAACCTACAAAAAATGGCAAATAAAACTACTACATAAGCCAAAGGCGCAAGGGATCAACAGAATGGCGCAAAAGCATGAAAAATGGCTGAAAACTAGCTGAAAATCCAGCTGGAGAAACCTTGTAACCAGCTGGAAGTCCAGCTGAGTTGAAACCGAAGAGCACCATTAAATAACCACTACAACATCAAGCTAGAACCAGAACCCCTGCAGCGTGCAACCTCATTTGCAATCAGCTGCATAGAACTGATGAGCAGAGAGTGGGCCATGTGGATGGCACAAAAATAGTCCATCCTTGATCCATAAAAGGTTGCAAAGATGGTAAACCATCAGCTGGAACCAGGAACAGCAGAAAGGCACAAAAGGCAAGAAAACCAGTTGAGCATGCAGCTGGAAAACCATAAGACACCAATTGAGAGCATGGGCCAGATAAGGGGCTGAAATCCAACTGAGCAGACTAAGAAGCGTGAGGAGATCCATCCAAAGCAAAAACCCCCAGCAACATCAACAACCAGCAACAAAGGCCCAAGAAAACCAGCTGAAAACTGTTAAAACCAGCTGACAAATCAACTGAAGAAAGGCGAAGAGAACCAGCTAACAACCATCAATGAATGCCAAAAGGCAGCTAGAACAGCAGCTAAAAATTAGTTGAGAAAACATGAAGAACAGACAGCAACAACAAAGAAGGGCCAGCAGCATCCAAACTATTCACGTGAACAGTAATAGCAGAAACACCCCAGCAGAAATGACCCAGCATTCCAGCGCATAAACCCAGCTGATTGGCGAAAAAAAGAACAAAAAAGTCAATTGAGAACCAGCATAACCCCATCAGAAAGCCAAGAAAACCAGCTGGAAGACCATAGAAAACCAACAGCAACATCAACCAATTGTTCACGTGAACTGTTACTCAAACAGTCACATAAACAGTGAAGAAAAACCCAAGAAATCTTGCAGCTACGTCAGAATCCAAAGCTGCCAAAAATAGAACCCAACCAAGGCGCAAGAGATCCCAGCAAGAAGGCCAAGAGAACCACAAACCAGCAATAACAGATAAGTAGGAACCCCAAGCTGGAACAAGAAACCAGATGAAGCAAGCCAAGAGATGAAGCATCAAACAGGTTGTTCACGTGAACAGTAGCGTGAACAGTGCTGCCTTTCCAAAAAATAGCAGACCAATAGCGAGAAGCCCCCTCATCAGCTGAAAAACCAGTAGACAAGCTACAAGAAATTCCCCACAGCTGCATTAAAGAAGGAGATGTTGCGCAAGAAATGAGAACTAAAAGCCCCAACTCGAGTGAAGGTTCCATATAAAGGATCAACAAGGGGAAAAATTTTTCCTTGGCATTTTAACGCCTTGTTAATCTTGCATCTGAATAAACTTGGCCTGTAGAGGAATCTTCAAATCACCTGTGAAATCAGAAGAGGAACCCTCCAAAACAGCTAGGTTAGCAAGACCATCAGCTAAGAAATTCGTTTCCCTGTATATATGAGATAGGCTAAAGTTCATGCCCTCCAAGAAACCCCTGATCTCATTACAAATTTTCCAAACCCAAACCCAAACCCTAAACCCTTTTTTTTTTTTAAAGAAAAGGCAAATTTTATTTATTGAATACCAAAAATTACAAGAAGCAAAGTCAGACACTATTTTTCTAAAATAAAAAACAGTGACTGTAGAACAAAACAAGACAAAAAGCTAGACAAGGGCAAAAAATTAATTCCCTATAGCTGTACAATAACCCCATGCCAGCTTCAAAATTCTACGCAGCACAGTTAGCAAAGAAACTACTAACCCACAGTATAAAGCAGTAAAGGAGCTCTTTTCAATGAAACAAAAAGCCCCAGCTGAGAGGTTCAACTGAGAGCATATAACCCACAGTCCAGATCCATCAGAATGGTAGGCTTTAAAAACACAGACTGCATCTGAAAACCAACAGTCCATAACTACCTTAAATGCACTGCTTGAGTAACCAGAAACATCCCCTCTGTAATCCAGATGCATAGAACAGAAACTGAACCGCCACCCCAGCTCCTTTTAAAACAACACTTGTGTAGGAGGAAACCATCAGGAAATCTTCTATCGTAAACACCAACATGAAACGTAAGAGGGATCAAGAAGAGATTAGGAAGATTGACCATCGAATCTCTAAGGCCACCAAAAGAAATGCAGGAGAAAGCCCAAGGACTAGTTCAGTGAACCATGGAAATCCAGAAATTCCTCCAGAAGATATTGAGAACCTGATCTTGCTTCTAATACAGCATCTCAGAAGACTGCTAAAAACAGAGAATCAAGTCCAGCTAAAATAGAGTCCATAAGCAACAACATATTTCTACTTCTCTGTCTCTATACGTGCTACAAAAATTCCAGAAGTTGATGCCTTTTTGTAATCTTGAGTAAATGAATCAAAATGTTATAAGAAACTATCCCAGTACCATAGCTCTATCAACTAATTCTCCAAAGCCTCTACTATATGCAATACATACTACAAAGATTGCACAACACCACAAAAATGGCTCCCCAATACCACTCTACATCTACCAAATAAGTTGGCTTTAATCCTACAACAAGATTAAACCAATTTAACTAACAACAAAGCACACTGCCATACTCAACACAATTAAAATTGAAAGCCACTCTGCCAGACAGACAAAGATATAGTCCATATCAGGTCAAAAACACCCCTCAACTACACTACATTGTCCACCACCATCATCCAATTACATGTCTTGGTCCCCAAGCAATTCTCTTTTTCAATCTATCCGTAGGAACCATGCTTCTGTCCTACTGTAGAAGCAACCTACCCTCAATAGGCAGCAAATTATTCTCAGAAAACTCAGTAGAGCTACCAGATTTAACTGCATAGAAGGCCAAAAATCTGCAACAAAATTGGCTTCTCTATAAATGTGTACAATCTAAAACTGCATCTTCTTAAGCTCCTGCCAAATTTGCTCCAAAATCCCTTTAATCCTCCAAGGTACCCCAACTTTCCCCAAAACCATCTGAACTAGAATTTGTGAATCAGACTCAATCATAAGTTGTTTCTCCTCCAATCTATTCTGTCTAACCATCTGTAGCCCATCCAGCAAAACAGAAGTAGCCAATATCATCTGACCACTAGAATCCCTTACCACCATACCTCCCCCAAATAATTCAGAAGTCCCTTTGGAGGCCCCATCCACATTTAATTTCAGGGATCCCTCAAATGGAAACTCCCACTTAATCCATTTTACACTAGTAACTATAGACCATACAGAACCTATTTTACTAAACCCGAAACCCGAAACCCGAAACCCCGAACCCCGAACCCCGAAACCCTAAAACCCGAAATCCGAAACCCGAAAACCCGAAACCCGAAACCTGAAGCCCTAAACCCGAAACCCTAAACCCTAAAACCCTAAAACCCAAACCCTAAACCCTCTTTTTTTTTTTTNCAAAACCCGAAACCCCAAACCCGAAACCCCCACCCCCGAACCCCGAAACCCTAAAACCCGAAAACCCGAAACCCTAAACCCGAAACCCTAAACCCTATAACCCAAACCCTAAACCCTCTTTTTTTTTTTTTTTTTAGTAAAATAGGAATTTATTGAATAAATGCAAATTTTACAAGAAGCAAACAAGTAACTGTTTTTAAGCTAAAAACAGTAACTTTTGAACATATAACAATAAAAAACAATACAAGGGAAAACAATTTAAATCTAGCATAACCCTCATATTGTCTTCTTTGCATCCAGTTAATCCTTTCCAGATAAATTCCTTAAGCTACCATCTAAACCAAAGTAGAAGCAAAAAACAGCAACCATATGCAGTCTAGGAGGAGAAAACCAAATTCAGTCCCTAGTGCTCAGCAGAACAGGCTTACCAGCAAAGTCATCTTAATATCCCCATCTCAAACTATACCAGTTAGATGACTTTAATCCTTCAATGGAATAAAACCAAATTAACTACAAATCAGAAACCAGTCTGTTAGGTATATCAGCTGATCCAAGTACCATAGGAAGAAATATTAACCAATGCCTTGCCTTTGACCACAAATCATTTTCATTAAAATGATTTGATTGAACAAGTCAAAAAAACCAAAACCAGCCAGAACCTTCCCCAAAAAATCTCATTCCATTCTATCATATGCTTTCATCATATCCAATTTCATAATCATATTCCCACTTTCAACCTTTCTATCTAATTCACCCACAAGCAACTGTCCCAATGCCACACAATCCCTAATTCCTCTCCCTTTGACAAAACCATGTTGCTCTTCAGAAATTAAAGCAGGAAGTAATGAGGACAGTCTTGTGTTCAGAAGTTTTGTAAAGATCTTATATAAGAAATTACATAAACTTATGGGCCTGAAGTCAGAAAATGAAGTTGGATCCTCTTAATTGGGAATCAATACTAGTAAAGTAGAATTCACAGATTTTGGCATGATACCTCCTTTAAGCAGAAAACTAATAGCTTTTCCCACATCTACTTTAATAACATCCCAGGCAAACTGATAAAACTTACCAGACATACCATCCGGCCCTGGAGCACTTTCTGTTGCCATTGAAAAAACAACCTCTTTCAATTCCTCCAAAGTGGCTTCAGAAGTCAGTTTCTCATTATCCTCCTGACTAACAATCTTAGGAATAACATCAAAGATATCATCATTGATGATATGCCTCTCAGATTTATACAGATCAGCATAAAACTCCTCAGCAACCATAGCCACTTGTTTGTCTCCATACACCCAGACTCCATCTTTATTTTTAATTCTAGAAACCTCATTTCTGACAATTCTACTTTTAGCAATAGAGTGATAAAATCTGGTGTTCCTCTCCCCCTGAATAGCCCATCTTACATTTGACTTTTGCTTCCAATAAATCTCCTCTCTCCTTAACCAATCATCCATCTCACCTTTAGCATCCTCTAATTCAATGTTTTTTGAATCAGAAAAGGTTTGATCTAACTCCTGCTCAAGCAGACTGATTTTTTGTTCAAAAGTTTTCAGTTTCTCAAAAAGATTACCAAACACATCTTTATTCCAGATTTTCATGTGAGCCTTCAAATATTTCATCTTAATGAACAAATTTGACATTGGGTTATCTGAATAATAGCCACTCCAGTTAGAAATTATCAGAGCCAGNTGCCACACAATCCCTAATTCCTCTCCCTTTGACAAAACCATGTTGCTCTTCAGAAATTAAAGCAGGAAGTAATGAGGACAGTCTTGTGTTCAGAAGTTTTGTAAAGATCTTATATAAGAAATTACATAAACTTATGGGCCTGAAGTCAGAAAATGAAGTTGGATCCTCTTTCTTGGGAATCAATACTAGTAAAGTAGAATTCACAGATTTTGGCATGATACCTCCTTTAAGCAGAAAATTAATAGCTTTTCCCACATCTACTTTAATAACATCCCAGGCAAACTGATAAAACTTACCAGACATACCATCCGGCCCTGGAGCACTTTCTGTTGCCATTGAAAAAACAATCTCTTTCAATTCCTCCAAAGTGGCTTCAGAAGTCAGTTTCTCATTATCCTCCTGACTAACAATCTTAGGAATAACATCAAAGATATCATCATTGATGATATGCCTCTCAGATTTATACAGATCAGCATAAAACTCCTCAGCAACCATAGCCACTTGTTTGTCTCCATACACCCAGACTCCATCTTTATTTTTAATTCTAGAAACCTCATTTCTGACAATTCTACTTTTAGCAATAGAGTGATAAAATCTGGTGTTCCTCTCCCCCTGAATAGCCCATCTTACATTTGACTTTTGCTTCCAATAAATCTCCTCTCTCCTTAACCAATCATCCATCTCACCTTTAGCATCCTCTAATTCAATGTTTTTTGAATCAGAAAAGGTTTGATCTAACTCCTGCTCAAGCAGACTGATTTTTTGTTCAAAAGTTTTCAGTTTCTCAAAAAGATTACCAAACACATCTTTATTCCAGATTTTCATGTGAGCCTTCAAATATTTCATCTTAATGAACAAATTTGACATTGGGTTATCTGAATAATAGCCACTCCAGTTAGAAATTATCAGAGCCAGAAAACTCTCATGATCACACCACATATCTTGAAATTTAAAATAGGAAATTCTCTTCTGGACAGAAGTATCCATAATTTTCAACAATAAAGGACTATGATCAGAGTTACCTCTTGCTAAGTGAGCCACTTCCTGACTGTCAAATCTCAGNCCCCAGTTAGAAATTATCAGAGCCAGAAAACTCTCATGATCACACCACATATCTTGAAATTTAAAATTGGAAATTCTCTTCTGGACAGAAGTATCCATAATTTTCAACAATAAAGGACTATGATCAGAGTTACCTCTTGCTAAGTGAGCCACTTCCTGACTGTCAAATCTCAGATTCCAGCTAGGATTAATCAGAGCTCTATCCAGCCTCTATTTCATTCTGAAACCCCCATTTCTATTATCACACCAGGTAAATTTATTCCCAGTAAAACCAGCATCCAATAGGCCCCTTTGATCCAAAAAGTCACCAAATTCCTCCATAGATAAAAGAGAAGGAGAAGCTCCTCCCAATCTTTCAGCAGAGGACAAAATTGTATTGAAGTCACCCAAAACCAGCCAAGGGACATCAGGAGGGACATCAATATCCATCAGGTGTTCCCATAAAAGCCTTCTCATTAAAAGGTCACAGCTATCATATACAATAGAGACCCAAAAAACAAGTGAATTCATAAATGTTATTTCCACAGTCAATACTTGGGCATGCTCAAACATTACCTTCAATTTGATTCTCTCATCCCATAATACCCAAATATTCCTTTCTGCTAGAGCATTAGAACAGAAATGCTCTAGGCCAATGCTCCTAGCAAAATGAACCAATTTGGACACCAACAGTTTAGGCTCTTGAATTGCAACAAGACAAACATCATACAATTTAATGAGTTTCTTTAATCGCCACCTCTTGGCATCTTTACCTGCCCCTCTCATATTCCATGATAGAAAATTAATCATAAATTCATAGAAGAATGGACATCACTGGAACTAAATCCATTATCATCCTCATTTCCATCCAAAGAACTACCAGNATGAACCAATTTGGACACCAACAGTTTAGGCTCTTGAATTGCAACAAGACAAACATCATGCAATTTAATGAGTTTCTTTAATCTCCTCCTCTTGGCATCTTTACCTGCCCCTCTCATATTCCATGATAGAAAATTAATCATAAATTCATAGAAGAATGGACATCACTGGAACTAAATCCATTATCATCCTCATTTTCATCAAAAGAACTTCCAGAATTTTCAGAGTCAACATGTACAACCTTCTGAGTTCTAGAACTGGCCTGATCAGAGTAGTAACCTTTATCTGGAGGTTCTCTTACTCTAACCAAACCATTCTGATCATCTAAAGACTTCTGGCTCCCTCTTCTAACTGTAAATTCATGTTCAACTAAAAAGGAAGAGCCCAAGGATTGAGCATAAAGAGTTTTACATTCTCCAAGGACTTCCATAATGTTGGTATCATTCATCTCATTACTAATAGCAACTAAATTTTCCTCAATAGTAACCTTATTACCTCCAATGTCTCTAACATTAAACACCTCATTAGCAGAAGGCAAAAAATTAGGGGAGGAAGAGGAAAAAAACCCCAAGTTAGCATCCTCATGAACTGGCAGAATAGGATCCTCCAATCTGACATCAACAATATCATCAACACCTTGAGTTTCACAATCATAATCCACCTGAGAATTATCAAGATTTCCCACATCAACTCTCTCTGTATCTCCATTTTGAATTTCCATATCCCCTGCTACAACCTTGACAGTATCAGAATTATTATTCATATCCTGTGGGACAGGTTCAGTAATCATCTCATCAGCTTTAGAGTTTCCAATATCAGTCATCTTCTCAGGGAAAGTTGGATGTCCCAATATAGGCATATTCCTACCATTTTCCATATCCTCCCCAGCAATCTCCCTTGTATTATCCAAGTCAAAAGCAACATTTATATCATTTGGTTTTGCAGAATCATTATTCCTCACCATAACAGAGGAAGTTTCACCATTTTCAATAACCTTTTCAGGTAATATTTGCTGGAATTGTATAGATAAATTCCTATCATTATTCAGATCCTCCACTACAACCTCCTCATTCAGCACAGCAAAACTATTTCCCACTGCAGTAGTTTGGGTCTTGGTTTTCTGTTTATATTCCTTCCTGGGATGCACAATCAGGCCATCTATATCCACAGCTTTTCCTTTCTTCTTCCTCCATTCCTCATCATGACTTAAAACATTCCCATTTACTTGCTTATTTTCAGAGGTATCACCTTCCACTCTCTTCTTCCTTCTACACAACATTTCATCATGTCCTTGCTTAAGACAAGCAGGGCAATACTTATATTCCTTTTCATATACAATTCTCTGCCAACGCCCACTGACTCCCCCCATGTCTAACCAGAATCTCTTAGGATTACTGGCCAGAAGATTCATTTCCACACAAGCCCTGGCCACACCAGGCCTGGAAAGACCCAGAGTAGCATTATCTATCACCAGAATCCTTCCCACTGGACTTAGAATATCTCGCAGGCTCTCTCTATTAAAGAGATGGATTGGAAGACCAGGCAGGGACACCCATACAGGTACTACAGGTGCCTCAATTCCAGGATAAAATTCTGGAAACCATTTGAAAAATCTAAAGAGGAATCCCTCAATGTAAGTAGTATCCTTCAACCAGACTTTAACATAGTCCTCATAAAGAGAAAATCTGATCAATACNCTCACTTGACTTAGAATATCTCGCAGGCTCTCTCTATTAAATAGATGGATTGGAAGACCAGGCAGGGACACCCATACAGGTACTACAGGTGCCTCAATTCCAGGATAAAATTCTGGAAACCATTTGAAAAATCTAAAGAGGAATCCCTCAATGTAAGTAGTATCCTTCAACCAGACTTTAACATAGTNAGAGTCCCGTAAGGCAAGTAATGAAGCGTTAGCTCCCGATCCATAAGACAGACTGTAAAACCCGAAAAAAAATATATATATATTATTAATCCTAATAAAAATAAAAGGNATTCCAGGATAAAATTCTGGAAACCATTTGAAAAATCTAAAGAGGAATCCCTCAATGTAAGTAGTATCCTTCAACCAGACTTTAACATAGTCCTCATAAAGAGAAAATCTGATCAATACATGTCTTGGATCTAACACTCCTACCGTAAATTCCCCTTTTAAAAGCCATCTAGATTTGATGAATTCTTTCACCACACCCATTGAAGGTTTACCATAAGCACATTTACCAATCAGTGTCTGATTAAATCCTTTGGACAATTCCATAGTTTCAACAGGGGACCAATACATCCCAGGCTCCCTTTTATTAAAGACAACTCTCTTAGCAGGCTTGAGAGGATTCACAGAATTCAGAGAGCCAAATAGAATTGGAGAATGAGGAATATGAATGCCAGAAGGATTCTGATCATTCGATATAACAACAGGAATCTGAACATCTCTTTCAGGACTCGAGATCTGAGTTTTTGGCAGATTTCGATCTAGCGAAGTATCTTGAGGAGGGGAAATGGTTGAGGAAATCAACGAAGACTGGGGATGTAGATTAACTCCCTGAGTGTTTTGAACATTTGAGGAATCAACAGGAATCTGAACTCCTAAGCCAGAGGAAGAACATTGATTATTTGTTGAAGTTGACACAGCCGATGGAAGAACAGAGGCAAACTGAACCGTTGGGTTGTTTCGATTCAAAGCAGCAATCAGAGGTATAGAAACGGTGTTCTTACATCCCAAAGGATCAACAACTGTTAAGGAAGTTAATTCTGTAACGGCAGGAATTGTCCAAAAATTTTCCAGAGATGATGGTTTCTTGAACAATGAAGCAAAGTTTTTGGAAATGTCAGGAGGTTTTGGGGGAATTTGATGAGTTTCACGGCTAGGAATCATGCTAAACCAATCAAACCAGTATGAATTCAACAAATTTATGAAGAGATAACCAAAATTTTGACAGAAATAAAGCAGATCTGGGAAAAGAATAAATGTATTTTCCAGAGAGAAGTCAGAGCTTCTCTCTCTAGAATGAAATAACTGCCTCCTCCTACTAAAACCCTAAACCTAAACCCTAAACCCTAAACCCCTAAACCCCTAACCCCTAAACCCAAAACCATATAACCCTAAACCCTAAAACCCTAAACCATAAACCCTAAAACCCTAAACCCTAAACCCTAAAACCCTAAACCCTAAAACCTAAACCCTAAAAACCTAAACCCTAAAACCCTAAATCATAAACCCTAAAACCCTAAAACCCTAAACCCTAAACCCTAAACCCGAAACCCTAAACCCCAACCCCTATACCCTAAACCCTAAACTCTAAACCCTAAAACCTTGAACCCTAAAACCTTGAACCCTCAACCCTAAACCCTAAATCAAGTGTGTGACAGTCCATGTTTATCACCGATTTGTCAATTGTTGTTCCCGTTAAGTTGAGGCAAAGCTTAGCCACCAGCCCCCTTCCAACTACATAGGAAACTCTTGCTTGGGGAGAGTCAATCTAGTTACCGGGCTAACTCACAAGGATAAGTTAAATCATCAAAATCGAGACTGCAGAGAAATATCTATGGAGGTAAGGCTAGCACTAATTCTCTTGTCTAGTTGTGATTCTCCAGGATTCCATCAAGAAAAGAATAACCTTCNTTCTCCTTCCAAAGGGCACAGGCACAACCATCACTGGCAACCCGCTCTGTCTCGTATGAAGAATGGGCAACGGGCATTCCTGGAACAACTGGGACTGGAAAGGCAGTCAACTCACTCCGCATTACCTCGGGTCATTGGTCACAATCGAGTCAACTCTACTCACTGGTCTATGGAAACTAGCCCCTCTGTCCCTTTCCCTTCTCAAGCTAAGCAATCGAAATCGAAAGATCAGGTCAGCTTTGCTTTCCGAAGTCCGCTCTCGTCTGCCTGGTCACTATCCCCTCTTCGGTCTATGATCACTGGTATTAGACGACGCTCTTTAAAACGCGCTATAACCGCATCTAATCAACTCAAGGCATCAAAGGTCCCTATCCAATTCGTCGTCAAAGTTCTAGCTCATTTTTAGCAATAAGCGTCGAGAGAACAGATGCTATTAAAGAGCTAGAAGCTCGTAACTCGTTCCACTCATATAAAGCGGAACGTTCCCGCTTCTCTCGAAGCTTCCCCTTCGACGTGCGGGCTATATTAGCTTTGCAAGTGAGACAGCTTGTTGAATCATTTGTCAGTATAGGAATCGGCACCGACACAACCTGAACCGTCACTTTCGTCCCTTACCCCTGATCTCTGGTGACTAATTGACCCCGGTCTCTAAATTGATATTGACTTCTGCTCTGAAAAAGAAAACATCTCTCTAAAACCAACACTGCTCTTGTTCTCTTCCGTCTTCGATCTCTTCAACCTCCGATCCGCTATGCTCTTTGTAACTATACCTTCTTCTCTGGTAACTCAACAGAGATCCTCTTCTTTCCTCGCTTTTGAACGCTTTCTTTCGTCACTCTTTTTAGCAACTGGAGAAGGAGGCAGGAATCTTTTTATTTGAACAGGCTCTGACCTTTGTCCCGCTTGCCACAAGCAACAGGCACCCTTTTCGGCACAATCAAAGGCAACAGGAGTAGTAGTAGGTAAAAAACAAACGAACTAAGATGAATATCAGGTACATAAGCCCATCGGCCCACGGGAATCTTGATTAGGAAATCGCCACTCGTAGTATGTTGACCTAATCCATCCTTCCAACGCATGCTACGTGTTGGTTAATCAAAAATCTCTTAGGTCATCCCCAAGCCAAGCTCTCCCACGTTCCGAACATGAGACTTCTAGAACTCGATGCCCCATCGTTCGTACCCGGTCACGACTCTCACCTGGATTCCCATTTGGTTGATGAAGGCGCAGTGGATTCCTTCTTTAAGGAAATCAAAGGTGTTTTCTCTTCGACTCTACTGTTCTATATGGATTTGGAATAGTCAAAGGCCTAATAGATCTCATTCAAAGCATTCATAGGTCTCACGGATTGTGCTATTTTCCCTCTCTTGGAGTGGAGCTCGTAGTTGATGTAGGTGGAGCTCTTGAACCTGTTGTCTTTTGCCAACTCCCCTTAGAAAATCACTAGTGGTTCAGCGGGTCTCTCATCTATGGAATGACCAGCATCTACACCCGATTCCTAAACTCCAACTCCTATTTATGAAAGTGAAGATTCCACCTGGATCCAATTCTTCTTTTCTTGACTCAATGCTGAAGGCTGAAGGATCAAATAGGTCATGGCTTCTTTGGGGATTCATTGAAACCAGGTTGAGTTTTTCTTAAAAAAAAATAGATAAAGGAGCCTATAGTAGAGTAGCCTAACTCATAGGCAAAGCTAAAGGCTATTAAATAGTCACCTAAGTAGACGATGGACGAGACTCTAGAAGAGTGACTTTCTGGTGAGGTTGCTTCAACCAACCCTCATGACAGAAAAAACTCCTAGTGAAAACTATGTCTGTATGTATAACCGTCGTTTCCCATCAATTGAATCAATGCAAGTAGTTCTCCTTATATATAGCTATTCATTCCTATTTGGTTGGATTCCTCGGTTCATCTTAAGCCAATAATGGAATAGCCTGTTTTTCTAGCTATTCATTTCTTTCATTCAGGTATGGTGGCAAGGAGAAGTTCGAGTAGGCTTTGTTGAGAAGGTGAACGACGAATTCGAGTGATCGAAGGTGAAAGTACTAAGCGAATATTCAAACATCTATTCATGTGAGAACCTTGATTGACACCACCTTAGCCTTAGTCAGTAAGGGGAGGCGCCAAGAAGTTTAGACATAACGATCCACCATCTTTGATGGAGGCGAAGAATGGTAGTATTCCTTCCATGACAATCTCAGGAACACTACCATATGCGTATAGTAGCGTCCAGTCTAATAAATAGAAGTGAGTTTTGGCACATACTAGTCTTCTAGGTGAAGTAGCTTCTTCTCCTTCCCTGCACCGCTAGTTTCATAAAGGTTAGTTGGCTTGCCCTTCTCTCCATTCCAGACGGGAATGGTCTAAGTAGCTCCAGCTCTATTAGCTCGGTGCGCCTTTATGTATCAGCTATTAGTAGGCTCTGCCCCAAGAGTCGTAGACCGGGAACCCGGAGGTGAAGGCAACTGGCAACGGATGGAGCATTCGGAGAGGTTTCAGTTCACATTCATTCGACTGAACAACGCGAGCTATTGAGTCGGATAAGCCTGTCTCTCGTCATGCTCTCGAAGTTAACATCCTTGTTAGTAGCTCAAGGCCCCAAAGGCTCTACTAGAGTCGGNTCTGTCCCAAGAGTCGTAGATCGAGAACCCGGAGGTGAAGGCAACTGGCAACGGATTGAGCATTCGGAGAGGTTTCAGTTCACATTCATTCGATTAAACAACGCAAGCTATTGAGTTAGATAAGTCTGTCTCTCATCATGCTCTCGAAGTTAACATCCTTGTTAGTAGCTCAAGGCCCCAAAGGCTCTACTAGAGTCGGGTGTACGACCTTAGAGGAATACGAGGTGAAACGGAGATCGCATTCCGAGAGGCTGATTATCAGANTTAGTTCACATTCATTCGATTAAACAACGCAAGCTATTGAGTTAGATAAGCCTGTCTCTCATCATGCTCTCGAAGTTAACATCCTTGTTAGTAGCTCAAGGCCCCAAAGNTCAACATCTGCGAGTTGACATAATCAGTGAAGCTGTTGTAGACATAAGGATAGTTATCTTGGAATCCCTTGCCATGTTATGATAGTTTACTGGATTGTTCTTGCATGGGGGTTTCTGTGTCTTGACCAAGGNAAAACGGAGATCACATTTCGAGAGGCTAATTATTAGATTCATTCCTTGTGCTTGACGTTCAGGGTACTATCAGCGTGGGAGATAAAGTGATTTGTTCAAGCTAACTGATGTGAACATGTGAATTCACATAGAATATTAGCACATGTTACACGCGTATACATGTAACGCAGATAAGCNAGGTTGCCGTGAGGCACTTTATCTCCTTCACTTGTTCTTTCAATTGTTCTACATCAGGTGTGACTTGCTGAATCCTGGTCTCTTTTGCCGAATTTGCTTCTTGGTCTCAAGTGAGGTTATTATGGCTCTTTCTGGGAAATCCTCTTCATCCTTGAACCTTAGTTGTTCACTTCGTTCTCCNTGCCTAAGGTTGTAGCATTGATCAGTCCAGTGTCCCTCTCCACCCATGTGATATTCACAGCGTGCGTTTGGGATTCAATTCTTGGGTGGTGGATTTGGTATCGGCCTAAGTGGTATAGGATTGATGAGGTTGGCTGCTACCAACTCTAGGAGAAACTGTGATGGAAGGGCTGGTAATGGGTCACACTTTCGGTGTGCTCCTCTCTTCCCATATATCTGACTGGGGTGGATTGAGCTTGAGCGGTTGCCCTGGATTGGACTTGCAATTGCATTGGTTGGACTTGTTGGCGAGCTGTATGGATCGGCCGAATCCTGGAGAAATCCCCTTTGGGAGGTTGCCCAATCATGATAGCCTGTACTTCTCTCTCATCTTGATTTGTCTCTTGCTTTCCAGGTGAACGCAACGTTTGGTCGGGTGTCTGAGGCCCCCATGTTCGCATCTGACATTTGGGTCACGTTTCCTTGGAATCCAATTCGGGATTGAGGGCGGAAGATGCAATAACAATTGTAGCCATGAAATGGGCAATAGGTTGAACTTCCGTTGTTCCCATCTCCTCCTAGCCCTAGCTGCATATCATTGATGAATTCCTTAAGATCACCGGAAAAAGATGTTTGTTCTGGATTGACTTTCCTTTCTCCAGGGAGCTTCTTAGGATTGATTCTCATCCCGAATAGGGATTTTTGGTCTTGCCATGACCTCGCCCTGCCTATTGTCGACATCTGCGAGTTGACATAATCAGTGAAGCTGTTGTAGACAGGAGGATAGTTATCTTGGAATCCCTTGCCTTGTTCTGATAGCTTACTGGATTGTTCTTGCATGGGGGTTTCTGTGTCTTGACCAGGGTTGCCATGAGGCACTTTATCTCCTTCACTTGTTCTTTCAACTGTTCTACATCAGATGTGACTTGCTGAATCCTGGTCTCTTTTGCCGAATTTGCTTCTTGGTCTCAAGTGAGGTTATTACGGCTCTTTCTGGGAAATCCTCTTCATCCTTGAACCTTAGTTGTTCACTTCGTTCTCCCTGGGAGTGGTTTGAGCTGAGAGGGAGAAAATCCGTCTTTCTTGTCACTGATCTTATTGATTGACGGTCCTGTGTTATTGCTACTCCCACTTGTCGGGGTTACTGGGCTGGCTAACTTAACTATGAATTTCTATTAATGTCGGGATAGACAGAGGTCTAGGATAGTACGCTGTCGGAGTGAGATCGGGGTACAGTAACGAAGTTAGACCGAAATGAACCACTCAATTCCTCACTTTCATCTNTACCCTGGAGTGGACTTGCAATTGCACTGGTTGGACTTGTTAGCGAGCTGTATGGATCAGCCGAATCCTGGAGAAATCCCCTTTGGGAGGTTGCACAATCATGATAGCCTGTACTTCTCTCTCATCTTGATTTGTCTCTTGCTTTCCAGGTGAACGCAACGTTTGGTCGGGTGTCTGAGGCCCCCATGTTCGCATCTGACATTTGGGTCACGTTTCCTTGGAATCCAATTCGGGATTGAGGGCGGAAGATGCAATAACAATTGTAGCCATGAAATGGGCAATAGGTTGAACTTCCGTTGTTCCCATCTCCTCCTAGCCCTAGCTGCATATCATTGATGAATTCCTTAAGATCACCGGAAAAAGATGTTTGTTCTGGATTGACTTTCCTTTCTCCAGGGAGCTTCTTAGGATTGATTCTCATCCCGAATAGGGATTTTTGGTCTTGCCATGACCTCGCCCTGCCTATTGTCGACATCTGCGAGTTGACATAATCAGTGAAGCTGTTGTAGACAGGAGGATAGTTATCTTGGAATCCCTTGCCTTGTTCTGATAGCTTACTGGATTGTTCTTGCATGGGGGTTTCTGTGTCTTGACCAGGGTTGCCATGAGGCACTTTATCTCCTTCACTTGTTCTTTCAACTGTTCTACATCAGATGTGACTTGCTGAATCCTGGTCTCTTTTGCCGAATTTGCTTCTTGGTCTCAAGTGAGGTTATTACGGCTCTTTCTGGGAAATCCTCTTCATCCTTGAACCTTAGTTGTTCACTTCGTTCTCCCTGGGAGTGGTTTGAGCTGAGAGGGAGAAAATCCGTCTTTCTTGTCACTGATCTTATTGATTGACGGTCCTGTGTTATTGCTACTCCCACTTGTCGGGGTTACCGGGCTGGCTAACCTAACTATGAATTTCTATCAATGTCGGGATAGACAGAGGTCTAGGATAGTACGCTGTCGGAGTGAGACCGGGGTACAGTAACGAAGTTAGACCGAAATGAACCACTCAATTCCTCACTTTCATCTCTTCGCTTCCTTGACCCTACTGAACACCTACTAAAAGCATGTACTTTATATCCCGCGCGCTTACTTCACTATTGTCATGTCGAGTGTCATCATCATCCGTCAAAACTTTCGACTTGTCCNTCATATCCCGCGCGCTTGCTTCACTATTGTCATGTCGAGTGTCATCATCATCCGTCAAAACTTTCGACTTGTCCTTTACTTTCAAGTCGATCGTTGAAGGATTCGAGTTTTCTCAGNTTGGAATTGAGGGCGAAAGATGCAATAACAATTGTAGCCATGAAATGGGCAGTAGGTTGAACTTCCGTTGTTCCCATCTCCTCCTAGCCCTAGCTGCATATCATTGATGAATTCCTTAAGATCACCGGAAAAAGATGTTTGTTCTGGATTGACTTTCCTTTCTCCAGGGAGCTTCTTAGGATTGATTCTCATCCCGAATAGGGATTTTTGGTCTTGCCATGACCTCGCCCTGCCTATTGTCGACATCTGCGAGTTGACATAATCAGTGAAGCTGTTGTAGACAGGAGGATAGTTATCTTGGAATCCCTTGCCTTGTTCTGATAGCTTACTGGATTGTTCTTGCATGGGGGTTTCTGTGTCTTGACCAGGGTTGCCATGAGGCACTTTATCTCCTTCACTTGTTCTTTCAACTGTTCTACATCAGATGTGACTTGCTGAATCCTGGTCTCTTTTGCCGAATTTGCTTCTTGGTCTCAAGTGAGGTTATTACGGCTCTTTCTGGGAAATCCTCTTCATCCTTGAACCTTAGTTGTTCACTTCGTTCTCCCTGGGAGTGGTTTGAGCTGAGAGGGAGAAAATCCGTCTTTCTTGTCACTGATCTTATTGATTGACGGTCCTGTGTTATTGCTACTCCCACTTGTCGGGGTTACCGGGCTGGCTAACCTAACTATGAATTTCTATCAATGTCGGGATAGACAGAGGTCTAGGATAGTACGCTGTCGGAGTGAGACCGGGGTACAGTAACGAAGTTAGACCGAAATGAACCACTCAATTCCTCACTTTCATCTCTTCGCTTCCTTGACCCTACTGAACACCTACTAAAAGCATGTACTTCATATGCCGCGCGCTTGCTTCACTATTGTCATGTCGAGTGTCATCATCATCCGTCAAAACTTTCGACTTGTCCTTTACTTTCAAGTCGATCGTTGAAGGATTCGAGTTTTCTCAGGTATGAATTCTTTATATTCATCTATAAATAGCTGTTTATCACCACCAATAAACTTTCTTCCAATACCTCTCTTGTCTCACCAACAAAGATGTGTTCTATCGATGTAGGTCAAACCAAAGAGCAGTTCGGTCAGAAGCATCTATCGCGCACTTCAATCCAATGAACAAGCACATANGATTGATTATAATCCCAAATAGGGATTTTTGGTCTTGCCATGACCTCGCCCTGCCTATTGTCGACATCTGCGAGTTGACATAATCAGTGAAGCTGTTGTAGACAGGAGGATAGTTATCTTGGAATCCCTTGCCTTGTTCTGATAGCTTACTGGATTGTTCTTGCATGGGGGTTTCTGTGTCTTGACCAGGGTTGCCATGAGGCACTTTATCTCCTTCACTTGTTCTTTCAACTGTTCTACATCAGATGTGACTTGCTGAATCCTGGTCTCTTTTGCCGAATTTGCTTCTTGGTCTCAAGTGAGGTTATTACGGCTCTTTCTGGGAAATCCTCTTCATCCTTGAACCTTAGTTGTTCACTTCGTTCTCCCTGGGAGTGGTTTGAGCTGAGAGGGAGAAAATCCGTCTTTCTTGTCACTGATCTTATTGATTGACGGTCCTGTGTTATTGCTACTCCCACTTGTCGGGGTTACCGGGCTGGCTAACCTAACTATGAATTTCTATCAATGTCGGGATAGACAGAGGTCTAGGATAGTACGCTGTCGGAGTGAGACCGGGGTACAGTAACGAAGTTAGACCGAAATGAACCACTCAATTCCTCACTTTCATCTCTTCGCTTCCTTGACCCTACTGAACACCTACTAAAAGCATGTACTTCATATGCCGCGCGCTTGCTTCACTATTGTCATGTCGAGTGTCATCATCATCCGTCAAAACTTTCGACTTGTCCTTTACTTTCAAGTCGATCGTTGAAGGATTCGAGTTTTCTCAGGTATGAATTCTTTATATTCATCTATAAATAGCTGTTTATCACCACCAATAAACTTTCTTCCAATACCTCTCTTGTCTCACCAACAAAGATGTGTTCTATCGATGTAGGTCAAACCAAAGAGCAGTTCGGTCAAAAGAATCTATCGTGCACTTCAATCCAATGAACAAACACATATAAGGGGGAAAAAAAGTCAAAACTATATAAGATAAGATAAGGTATACTGCTATACTAAAGCGCAAGTATACTATGCTATAGTATAATCGTATGTTATNTTAACATCTGCGAGTTGACATAATCAATGAAGCTGTTGTAGACATAAGGATAGTTATCTTGGAATCCCTTGCCTTGTTATGATAGTTTACTGGATTGTTCTTGCATGGGGGTTTCTGTGTCTTGACCAAGGTTGCCATGAGGCACTTTATCTCCTTCACTTGTTCTTTCAACTGTTCTACATCAGATGTGACTTGCTGAATCCTGGTCTCTTTTGCCGAATTTGCTTCTTGGTCTCAAGTGAGGTTATTACGGCTCTTTCTGGGAAATCCTCTTCATCCTTGAACCTTAGTTGTTCACTTCGTTCTCCCTGGGAGTGGTTTGAGCTGAGAGGGAGAAAATCCGTCTTTCTTGTCACTGATCTTATTGATTGACGGTCCTGTGTTATTGCTACTCCCACTTGTCGGGGTTACCGGGCTGGCTAACCTAACTATGAATTTCTATCAATGTCGGGATAGACAGAGGTCTAGGATAGTACGCTGTCGGAGTGAGACCGGGGTACAGTAACGAAGTTAGACCGAAATGAACCACTCAATTCCTCACTTTCATCTCTTCGCTTCCTTGACCCTACTGAACACCTACTAAAAGCATGTACTTCATATGCCGCGCGCTTGCTTCACTATTGTCATGTCGAGTGTCATCATCATCCGTCAAAACTTTCGACTTGTCCTTTACTTTCAAGTCGATCGTTGAAGGATTCGAGTTTTCTCAGGTATGAATTCTTTATATTCATCTATAAATAGCTGTTTATCACCACCAATAAACTTTCTTCCAATACCTCTCTTGTCTCACCAACAAAGATGTGTTCTATCGATGTAGGTCAAACCAAAGAGCAGTTCGGTCAAAAGAATCTATCGTGCACTTCAATCCAATGAACAAACACATATAAGGGGGAAAAAAAGTCAAAACTATATAAGATAAGATAAGGTATACTGCTATACTAAAGCGCAAGTATACTATGCTATAGTATAATCGTATGTTATGCTTGACTACGAAAGCGAGAAACTCTCTAAGGAAATGAAAGAGGAAAGGAGATGGAATCAACTCGACCAACTAATCTTTCTTTCCTATCACCTGATCCAACAACTCCTTTTTCTTACCTTCCCTTTACGCCGAAAATAGACTACGTACAGGGTTGTAGGGTGGAGAAAGGGTTTCTATAATTAAGGCTTATTGCGTGTGCAACGGGAGAAGAAGGGATCGTGGTCAAACACTAGTCCTTTTGGACTTTNAATCTTTCTTTCCTATCACCTGATCCAACAACTCCTTTTTCTTACCTTCCCTTTACGCCGAAAATAGACTACGTACAGGGTTGTAGGGTGGAGAAAGGGTTTCTATAATTAAGGTTTATTGCGTGTGCAACGGGAGAAGAAGGGATCGTGGTCAAACACTAGTCCTTTTGGACTTTCCGGCTAGAGCCACGGAGCTAAAGGCAGATTCTTTAGTCGCTTATTACTTAGTCCTGACCAAGCAAGATAAATCCTAATACAGATGAAGAAGCAAGACCTCTTTTAGATTGACAGTTGGCAAATCGAGATTGAAAGCTAGTAGCAACAAAGTGCTTTCACCTCTTGTAGTAGTCTATCTAGTCTCGTCTCCCTTTCTTCGCTTGTGAAGAAGCTTGGCTATTTCTTTTTCAACTGATTATAAAACTCATTCTGTTCATCCTTTTTTCTCGTTTATAAGGTGAGCTTCAATGCCCCTAGTCAGTAGGCGAGCGCTAAAAGCGCGCTGAGTGGCCTTTTTTTTTCGTGTTTTTATTATCGCGAGTTTAGTTTGGAGCTTGTGTGTTAGGAAAGAGCCTGCGTGCCTGGTCATTTTNCACGCTAAGTGGCCTTTTTCGTGTTTTTATTATCGCGAGTTTAGTTTGGAGCTTATGTGTTAGGAAAGAGCCTGCGTGCCTGGTCATTTTCTTTGCCTTAAACACCGCGCTATTGAGCGTATAAAGCTTTTTAGAGTTGAGCTAAGGGGGTGTACCATTCAATGCCAGCCCTAAAGATGGCTTTTGCTTGTCTCGCCATAACAAGCTGAGCTAGATGGGCCCGAACCTGCTCCTGCTCTTTTGGGTTCATAATTGTCTTTGGGGTGGATATGGAATTTGACTTTAAACTGGCGCATGTCCCTTAGTTCATGAAGGTGGACACAGTATTGCTCTAGATGAGGATGGATGCGTATGGTATAGGAATCGGGAAGAGAAGATCAAAGCCTTCCACGGATCACGAACTGGAGTGATCTAATTAAAGAAATGCGAGAGCAGGCCCTGCAACNCACATGTCCCTTAGTTCATGAAGTTGGACACAATATTGCTCTAGATGAGGATGGATACGTATGGTATAGGAATCGGGAAGAGAAGATCAAAGCCTTCCACGGATCACGAACTGGAGTGATCTAATTAAAGAAATGCGAGAGCAGGCCCTGCAACGCGTGACTTGGTTTGCTCGGGTGTGGAAAGATCAGGCTCTTGGATCGGGGAATAGATATGTCAATGGTTGAAAGGCTAGCGAATACCATTCCATTCTTTCAGGAATTGGGCTTAAGGGGCCGACTAGAAAGAGCTGACCTAATTCGATTCCATTACCTTACTAGAGGAGCGGAAACAAGACAAAAAGGATCACCAAGGGGTTGAAAACCAACCCTAGTACTCCCTTATTAGATAGAGGTCTCTCGAGCCTTCTGATCTGAATCTCGAACACTACTTAGATAGATGTATGTCAATTTCAGGCATAAAAAAAAATCAAACGTTTGATCGGTATCATGACCTGGGACCCGAAGAGCGTGTTCAACCCGCCTAAAAAGCCGTTCTTTTTTCTCTTTCGACCCTTATCGATTCGATTCGAATCGATTCGATGATTTTCGAATTNCTGTATCATGACCTGGGACCCAAAGAGCGTGTTCAACCCGCCTAAAAAGTCGTTCTTTTTTCTCTTTTGACCCTTATCGATTCGATGATTTTAGAATTTGAGTTTATGAGCCAACTACTCCCCTTGTTCGCTTACATTCCCTCGAGCTAGGTTTAGTTGTTGAAACTCGACCATCTTTCCTGTTCTCTCTCCCTGCCTCTATACACATATCTCCAACTCGGCAAGCTCATCTTCCCGAGGTAGAGTGGAATACACGAGCACTTCTTAATGCTTGCCTGAGACCATTCACCAGGTGATCCCTAGGTTGCAGCAGGGCAGTCCTGATTGAACTAACTAGTTGCTTAGCTAAACTCGTGACATGGTTTATTTATCAATGAACTGTGTATCAACATTGTGCCTTCCTTGGCTAAATTCGAGGGAAGTGCTATGAGACCATTTTGCTGATAAAGGCTGTCCCTGCTTACTTACGTTGGACCATACCTAATCGATCTGGTTCACTTACTTATGCTTAACCGCCTGTCATCGGAATATGAATAAAGTGGTACAACAAATCAACCTGAACCAGGATCTATACTTTGAACTAGACCCACCCCACTTAAAATGATTTGTCGTGCGGTCATTCGCTTCATATATGCGTTTGGCACTTGCGCTTAACTTATTTAAAGTTTTCGTGGGTTAAGCGTAGGCCGTCGACCGTATCTTTTGTTGCGGGACAACCGCTTGGGTATTACTCTTCATGGCCACTCTTTGTACTCTCACATCACATAGTGGTATGATGGTGTGTGGAATGGATTTATCCAGTTGTCCGCTTCACTGAGTACGCAGTACTTGGTGACGACGTAGTGATTGCTGACAGTTCTGTTGCTAAAGTCTATGAGGCAAATCTTCATCGACTGAATGTTAGTATCAGTTACCAAAAGTCTCTGATATCTGACTCGGGAGGTGCTGAGTTTGCGAAGCGATTTAGAGTGAAAGGGCTTACTAAGGACTTAAGTCCGGTATTGGCCTGATCGCTATGCAACTTCTTTCATCCTTATGGATTGGTCGCTATTGGGCACAAGTATAAGTGTGCTCGATTTTCGACCCTCTGTAGGGTTGGAGGGATGGGGTACCGACAACGGTCTCGCTTAGAGACTCGTAGGTCTGCAAGGGCTGAAAGTCTCTTCGTGATGTGGAATAAAGCTCTATTTGGTCATGGTTGTCTAGAGTTGTGGCTAGGTCAAGGCCTGCCCTTAAGCCTGTATCTTCGGGGTGTCATCATCCAACTGTTAAGGAAGGAGATGAAACCTCAAGATTCAAAATCCAGACGCACTTTTTTCTTGTTCCTGGGGTCAAAGACTTCCTTGAGTGGTCAATGCTTCGTGCATGGATGCGGGAATGGCTGCGTTATTGTCATTGGTACTATGGTACTGGATCCATGGGTATCCATTGAGGCCTTCTTTGATGCGCCAGTTGTGAATGTGAAATGGAAGGCTGATCGGAAGAGCGTTGAGCTCGTTCGATTCGGTCTTCTATGGAAGATTTTTGATTTGGTGGGTCAATTAGGTGTCTCTTTTAGGTGTTCGATCCTAGAAGATTCATCTGGATCAGAAAGATCTGGTCCATGGCTTCTTGGTGGAGTTGATGGCACGTCTTTCTTGGTCTCGCCTATCGGCCTTTTCCAACCGAAGGCGAGTAAGGGGGTTGTGGTTTGTGAGATTGTTAAAGATCCTTCTAAACCCGATCCCGCTTATATTACCGTTCGTTATAAGACTAAGCGATTGGCAAATGATCGAGAAAGAAACGATTGACTGTCTGAGGAATGATGACTTGGCTAAGGGTGTAGGCGTGAAGGCAAGCNTACATAATATTTCAAATATAAAAAAATTTGAATGATTAAATAACAAATATTTTAAATTTAAAATTGTAGAGTTCACAATATTTTCTCTTATTTCACGCCCTAATAAGTTATAACTCTTCCCCTCNTTCTATTTTTAGAGGTCTTTAGTTGATTTGCCCATTTTTCTACATTTTTTGGCATGTCATTATGATGATAAGAGGGGGTGATGAAAGATCTTGTCAAATGATAAAGGAAAATGGCCTGATTATCCACTTTTGTCCGTAGCTCCTCTCTCAGAAAGACGTCAGAGACTGTACTGCCAGATTATCAGGAGCTTAGAGGCGAGGTTCATCTTTCTCTCAAGTAAGAAGAGTCAAAGGAGGCAGAAAGTAGATCTNGGCAAAGAAAAATGGCCTGATTATCCACTTTTGTCCGTAGCTTCTCTCTCAGAAAGACGTCAGAGACTATACAGTCAGATTATCAGGAGCTTAGAGGCAAGGTTCATCTTTCTCTTATGTAAGAAGAGTCAAAGGAGGCAAAAATAGATCTAGTCAATCTAAGACTGTTTCAAGAGTGGTAAAGCCCTTTGTTGTGGGAAGAGAATTGTCACAGGGCGATAGTTCTCAATAGTGTACAAGGTTCAACAGTACAAAGAAGGAGTCCTTGGAAGACTGGTCAACATTCACAACAAGGACGTATAGGAGAAGACGAATGTCCTTTACCGTTGAAAGATGCTGAAGACAATACGGCACCGAAGCTACGGGGGTCGACTTGTATGTGGAAGCCGAACCCGAAGTATGAAAATTCAGCCTATGCAAAAGTGATGAAGGGAGAGACAGTTCTTTCCAATACCTCCGAAGCGCTAAAAGAAAAGAGTGGAGGAGTTAGTTCTGGTAGCAAAANTTCAGCCTATGCAAAAGTGATGAAGGGAGAGACAATTCTTTCCAATACCTCCGAAGCGCTAAAAGAAAAGAGTGGAGGAGTTAGTTCTGGTAGCAAAAATGACAGCGATAATACTTTGAAAAGGGGATTTACAATTCCATTTTTTTTATTATGTTTTCGTCAATAAGGAGGGCGAGATAGAAATAATGGAAAAAGCTTATAAGGCTAAGAAAAAGGAAATTACTCCACCATTTATTTGATTAGTATAGTGGTATACTGTTAACTGACTGGTCGTAAGTTCGAATCCTACTTGGAGAGATCCATGGTGTGACCGGGCCTGTCCTTCTCCCTAGAATCATTCTCAAGATTGTTCAGCTTTCTAGCGGAATTGTCAAACAAAGAGAACACATAATACTCAGTTAAATACAAAGGTCAAGGTCAAGGTCAAGACCAAGCTCAGTCCAACTTAGGATCTTTTTCCGATTGAATAGGAGCACAAGGGAGAGAATGTCGAGATGGAGATCTAACCTACAATGATTGTACTTATCAAAATAATGGAGGATCTCTTACTCACGTCATCGCCTCACCGCCTTACCCTAACTATATAATGTACACCCTCTCAACATTAAGGGCACACCTCCGAAGCCTCTACACCTCCCATTGTACACCTTTCTCTCTCCTTCTCCGAGCATTGTAATACTCTTGGAGATACTCTCTTCGGCGATTTCATCCTATTAATAAAAGACTCAGGCTACCGCTGTTATTTACGAGAGTGGAGTAGATCACCCAGATCGAACCACTATAATCCTTGTGTTAGCCCTTTATTTACTGTTTTATCATTAATTGTTTGTTTATTGCTCATTGATTGCACCCATTCATATTCTTGATTGTTGATTTTCCACAACACCGATTTGTGCATCATCACTATATATTGAAATAAAATTAAAAAAATTAAATAAGGGATCTAAGTCATTCATAATAGAACATGAATTTTAATAGTCAAAATTTATATTTTATTATGTAATTTATTGAAATAAAATCAAAAATCAAAAATNTAGGATATGACCTGATTGGAAACCTTGCTTTGATACCAAATGATGTGAACCCCAGTAGTCTTGTTTTGAGACCCAACAACAATATTGGAAATACCAACCAAGAAAGCCAAACTCAGGTCTAAGGATGGAGAATCTAGACCCATTGAGATCTTGTATCAAGAACGTAAATTATATTAAAATCTAGACCCTTTGAAGAACCCGTCTCAAAAACCCAAATTACAAGGAGGAATGCCACAAAGGTTGTGATTTACCTTTGATAAGTTCAAAAAGTTCAACTAAGAACAAGAGGAGTAAACTCAACTCATCTCACAATCAAAATTCATTGTATATTGCCTCTCCTATTTCATTGATAGAACACCAATATAAAGGCTAGCCATTACAAGGAAACAAATCCTAATCTACTATGGAAACAAATCCTAATCAAAATAGGACTAAATAATGACTAAAATTTGTAACCCTTTCTCTCAAAAATGCCCTAGAGTGAATAGTGTCACGAGGGCTATAGCATAAACAGTACCTCGCTATAATACTTATTCTAAATCCTAGTTCAAATAAAATAATAATACATATGTGGGCTAAGCATCCTCAAACTCACTTAATCTAAACTAATAATAAAAATTATTTAAACAAATTGAAAGGCTTAACAACAAAAAAACCAATTGAATCTTAGCCTTAGCCCCTAGCTGGATTCTTCTAGAACTTGAATCAAGTGGATCAAAATTGGTTCTCCTTCTTTCNTAAAATTTAAAATATTTGATATTTTATCTTTAATTAAAGTATTTTTGATCTAAGTGTAACATTTTAAATTTGAGTAATCTAAATATTACACTTACAAATTTTAAAAAATGTGGATATAATTTACTAACGAATATATATTCGACATTGATAGCAGAAGTCTAATTGTTACGTACGTACAAAATTTAGGGGGCTTCATAATATTTCAAATATAAAAAAATTTGAATGATTAAATAACAAACTTCAAAAGATTTGAATGGTATTCTCTCTAATTAATATATTAAAAATTTAAAATTGTAGAGTTCACAATATTTTCTCTTATTTCACGCCCTAATAAGTTATAACTCTTCCCCTCTGTTCCGCCCCCAATCACACGCCACTCTACTGTTAGCCACCGATTTCTTCCCTTCTTTGCTTTCATCTCTCCTGCTTTTCTCTGCAGTGTCTTCTATCTCTGCCTGACAGGACTGACAACTACCCGCGATCCACCGTCCATCGCAGCTGCCGGCAACACCCACCACCGACGCCAGGTATCTCCATCTCTCTGTCTTCCTCTCTCCTTGACTCTCACTCACGCCGTTCTCTGATCCGTCGATCCACCAACCACTACCATCCAACGCCCTCCTCTTCCTCCATTTCTTTGATTCTTCTCCCTCTAGTGAACCGCCAGTGACAACCTCTATCCAATTGCATCCACCAACTGGAAGCGATTGACTTTCGAAGCCCAGTTTGGAACCAAAGCTGATTAGGATTTTTGAATAAGGTTTGTTCTCTGACTTTTCGAAGCCCGATTGACAGTCTCTGATTAGGTTTTTTTTTTTGTCGAAATCCCACCGACTGCAATTACAGCAAGGTAAGATCATCGGCTCCTCGGAACTTGAATCAATTAATTCTAATTTTATCATCTGCTACATTAAATCCAGTCAGTGGATTATATTACATTAGTGTTTCAGAATGAATTGTACTACACGATTAGCCCAGATCGTCAGGTTCAAAGGCTATAGAATCTTTCAATAGCTTGCCCCCTCTCTCTCTCTCTCTCTCTTCCCACCTCTTCCGTGATTTCCCTATTGATTTTTCGTTGCTGATTGCAGGTGTATGAATCGTTTGGTCTTCCCTACTGAGTTGAGGTAATTTGGTTTTCACTTCATTGATTGTATTTTGGTTGCTATATAATTTATAGTTTATAGAGAGACTATTTGAGTCTTTGTTGAATTTTAGTTTGTTAATCCATGCTATACTTGCCTTGGTATTTATGTTTTTGTTGCTTTTGTGGTCTTTGGTCTATTTTGGATTTTAATCCATGTTATGCTTGGTTGACATGCTATGATAAATAAATTTTAATTCTATCCATATCTTATTTTAGTTTGTTCAATATTGAGGTGTGAAATTGGTGGATTGGTAGGTTATGGATTAGAATTTTCTAAATTTATTGTTGAGATCAACCCTCCAAGCCTGAAATTGGATTTTTCAATTTGCTAATTTTTTCGTTTGTTAGAAAATTCAGCAAGGTTATCCCTCACTCACACCCAAAATCACGCCATCCCAAATCAAACACCTCCTCATCCCCTTCCTCTTCTCAGTTGGTTTATCCAGAAGCCTCTTTTCTCTTTTTCTCCACCTCTTTTCTCGTTTTCTCCATATTCTCTCTCTATTGTCAGATCGAGTGACCTTCTAGTCAATGTTATGAAAAGCAAGCCTAGGCGAAAGCGAAGCGAAGCAAAATGAGAGAGAGATAGAGGGAGGAGGTCGACGTAAAGAGGGAAGGGGGTTAACAAAGATGAGTTTTTGTGTGTGCGTCTTTGACGCAAATCATCAAACAGGTGTGGGTTGATTTTAACTTACAAATCAAAGCTTGATACTCATATGTGGGTATTATTTTTAGGAGCGGGTTGCGCTGTGGTGAAAGAGGTTGGGTGGAGGTATCTCAGAAGGGGAGCTAGGGGGAGGGTTTGTGTGTGTGTGTGTGAGAGAGAGAGAGAGAGAGAGAGAGAGAGAGAAGAGGGAGAATGGCTGGGAAGGGTGTGGCAGAGGCAATGGCGCTGTGGGCATGTGGTTGTGGCACCGTCAGTAACACACACACACAGAGAAGGAAAAAGAAGGGAGGAGAGAGGTGTCATGCGTCTAAAACCTCTGACAGATGGTTGACGCTAGTGAGGTGAGAGAGGATGTGATGGAATTTTTTTTTTTTTTGGGGGGGGATATATAGAGGATAAAATTCAAGTTTTCATATATTTTATTATATAAATATAATTGTCCATGCTGAAGGTATTACATAACACAAAAATAACACGTAATAACTCAATTTGCATCCAAATTGGCACTGTGAACATATAATAAATGAACATATTCTGCCCAGATATATTTGAATTATATATATTAGATTACTAATGCTAGTAAGGAAACCAAAATTGCCAAGATATCATGAATGAAACCCAAAAAAAAAAACCCCAAAGAAAATGAGTCATAAAAGAAGTGCATCACTCCATCCTGCCAAATAAGTTCTTCTAATTGCTGGTGCAAGCTTGGTCTTTTGATTACCTGCAACTAAGTGCAAACCATGTCAGTCACTTCAACGATTTCTCATGAGTACAATTCAAACCAACCTCAGTTACCTAAGAAACAAAAGAATCAAATCAAACAAAACCAAAAAAAATTAAGAAACTCAATTACTTATGTGTTTCAATATTACACTCATATTAATTGAAAATAAAAAGAAACACAACTTGAAAGTGAGTTCCTTTGTCCCAGTTGGAAACACATAAGCAATTGACTATGCCACAAACACAACCGCCATAGACAATCTACCAAATCCTTGCACAAAAACACAAAACAACCCCATCAATACAAAAAACATGAACAACTCACAACTATGTCAACTGCAAATATACTCATATACATTCATTTTACCGGTGTAGAAGTAAAAAGAACAATATTTAAGACACATTATTTACACCATTTATGGAAGAACTTAATTTATCAAAATCCATTCAATTCACCAACACAACAATACTAATATCAACTAAATACTATAAAAATCCACCAATTGAAGATCAAATTCGTCTTTTTTTTTCAATTTCTTAGCAATCAAGTATTGACATTATCATAGTAATAATCCATTACAAACATGTCGAAGAAGAAAATGAAGTTTATTCATAAATTATCAAAACCCAATTCAATCACCAACACATACAACTACTAACCGAAAAATTTATTTAATTTCCTATGAATTCTCACAAATCAAACAATATAAACCATCTCACGAATGCTAAATACATAAATCTGTTTACTTTCCTACTAATTCTTTGCAACCAAAGAGTAACTCAAGAACAAAACTAAATTATAACCATATTGGAGTATCACAATTATGGAATGAGACCTTTGAATACACTGAATTCTCAGTGTTATAGTCATGTACACTATGTGAGTAGGTGTCACGAGGTAACTTTCGTTTTTCTTTCGAGGCTACCTGTGAAGGCGTTGCTATTGCAGCCAACCACACACAAACTCAAGACTAAGGGACAGAAACTCACACAGAAGGCACACACGAATTTACTGGGACAAAACTCCCAAACCTTATATATTGAACTCAACAATTTACAAGGAATTCTCAAAGCCAGAACACTCTCTCTGTCTATCAGAATGCTCAAGCACTCCTATTTATACAGGAGTAAGGCAGATGACACCCCAATTTGCCAAGGGGTAGTTACACACGTTTTTGCTATTCCATAGCATACTTGGCTAACAGGCTTGGTCTCTGTGTGACATCTGGCAGATAGTTCCACCCTTTTCAGTAACTGATGTGGAACTGCCCTTCATCAGCAAGCATTTGGACTGGATTCAGACTAGGGATAACTAGAACTACCTCAGCAACTGCCTTGGCTNGCGACATTTGGCAGACAGTTCCACCCTTTTCAGTAACTGATGTGGAACTGCCCTTCATCAGCAAGCATTTGGACTGGATTCAGACTAGGGATAACTAGAACTACCTCAGCAACTGCCTTGGCTATGTCTTAGCATCTGTAACTGCCCACATCCTCTTGGTCACATGCATTGAACAGCCATGTGCCAGTCATATGCCCACATTCAGTAGTCAGTCTTACTTTACAAACCAATGTGCATGTTGGGTTCAACCTATGTCCTACAATCCAAAGCTATGCACCCACATTGCTTCAATTGAGCCCACCACGCGTTGCCATGCTCAACCGGGTGTTCTCATGTTGCCATGGTTCGCCCCAATCTGTCGAACCACTTAGCCGCGTCATCTTGATTCCAACTTATGGCATGCCTTAGTACAAGGTGCCACCAAGACCGGCCATTTGCACCCAAGTCAGTTAGGGTGTGACAAGCCACCCCCACCTGAAGTAACCAACGACTTCGTTGGAATGGAGGCATGGTATTGCTTGATGAGATCCTCGAACTGCCACAATGTCGTCTCTTTCTCCCAAGTGGCTTCCTCTGGCGCTTTCCCTTTACACTTGACTAGGTAATGAGTTCTTTTATTTTTCTTACTCATTCCCTCAGTCTTGTGGTCAAGGATAGCTTCAGCTATTTCTGTGAATTGCTTCCCTGATTGTTGTAGGAGCCCGACACTGAACGTATTTGTTAGGGTCCTCTGGATCCTCAATATAAGGCTTTAAGAAGGCAACATAAAAATTGGATGAAGCTTGAGACGACTGAGAAGATCCAGTCTATTGGCCAACCTGTCAATCCTCATTGTTATAAGGAAAGGGCCATCATAGCGCTGGACTAGTCCCTTGTGTGCAAATTTTCGAGAGATCTTGTTCCAGATTGGTGGAGTCAATTTCAACATCACTTTGTCATCCGCTTCGAACTCTACTGCCCTCCTCTTCTCGTCTGCCCACTTTTTCATCCTCTTCACCGCCTTAGTTAAACAGTCTTTTGCCTTGTCGGTCCGCNGAATTAGTCCCTTGTGTGCAGATTTTCGAGAGATCTTGTTCCAGATTGGTGGAGTCAATTTCAACATCACTTTGTCANGGACTAGTCCCTTGTGTGCAAATTTTCGAGAGATCTTGTTCCAGATTGGTGGAGTCAATTTCAACATCACTTTGTCATCCGCTTCGAACTCTACTGCCCTCCTCTTCTCGTCTGCCCACTTTTTCATCCTCTTCACCGCCTTAGTTAAACAGTCTTTTGCCTTGTCGGTCCGCTCCTGATTGGCCCGAGCAAAGCGGTATGCTACAGGACATCTCCCTTGAGACTTCTGCTTGACAACTTCATGCGGGGTAAGAGGCTGTTGGCCAGTTGCCAACTCAAATGGGCTCATTCTAGTGGAAGAGCTCTGTTGGAGGTTATAACTGAATTGGGCTACATCAAGTAAATCCACCCAATTGTCCTGGTTCGCTGTGACAGTGTCTGAGATATTCCTCCAACATTGCATTAACCCGCTCAGTCTGCCCATCTGTCTGCGGATGATTGCTGGCAGAAAGGTTGAGCTGTGTGCCCAACAGTTCAAATAAACCCGTCCAGAATTGGCCAGTAAACCGAGTGTTCCTGTCTCTGACTATGTCCAGCGGAAGACTCCAAAGCTTCACAATATGTTTGAGGAACAACTGAGCAGTAACTTTCGCCGTACATACTTTTGGGGCAGCAATGAAAGTGGCATACTTCGAAAATCTATCTACAACCACAAATATCGAAGTAAAATCGTTCACCTGAGGCAAACCATTAATGAAGTCCATGGAAACACTCTCCCAAGGTCTGCTTGGAATAGAGAGGGGTTCTAACGTGCCCGCCACCTCCTTCCTTTCTATCTTGTCTTGCTGGCACACCAAACAAGTGCGCACATANGAGAGGGGTTCTAATGTGCCCGCCACCTCCTTCCTTTCTATCTTGTCTTGCTGGCACACCAAACAAGTGCGCACATACAGCTCTATATCTGTTTCCATGCGGGGCCAATAATAGCTTTCTGCTAGCAAAGCAAGAGTCCGTTGCTGCCCTGGATGTCCTGACCACAGAGCATCATGAGTTTCTTTTAGCAACATTTGTCGAAGTCTGCCTGACTTCGAAACATACGGTCTCCTTTATTTGGCGTAGAGAACACCATCCTCTACCCAAAATCGCCGAGTCACCCCTTTGTGAACCTGCTTCAACA